ATTAGACATGAAAAATTGAAGAGTAAGACACAAGAAGTATGACAAAGAAACCAAGTCAGCATGCAAACAACAACAAGTTCACACAACGAACTTGCTAGCGAGCCTGCCAGCAAAACTTCAACAAGTTCGCACAGCGAACTTGCCAGCGAAGGCCAGGAAACCCAATGTATTGTTCATCTAGAAAGAAAAGGGACCTAAGTTCGTTGTGCGAAGGAGGCAACGAACAACTCGCTGAAGCGAAGGTCTAGCGAACACCCCCAGACTTGAGGCAGTAGGTATTTGGACAAGAATTCGCTGTGCGAAGTTTGCAACAAAGTCTTCGCACTGCGAAGGATTCTTCGCACAACGAACATGTGGAAATCTATCAGGGGATTCTTCACTGTACAAAGGCACTTCAGGTGCCAATTTGAAGGTTCGCTAGGCGAACAATTTATTTTCACTGCAAACATGATAGCTCAGCAGGCTTTCTATAAGTAGTTGTGCCACTTTTTGGAAAAATATCTTTTTTCTTGTACTTTCTTTTGAGAGGATTTTCAGACCTAAAAACCTAATTTCTCCATTTCTCATCATCTCTTAGCAATCTTTCACAAAAAGAAGGTGGATTCCCATCCAATCTCGATTATTCGACTCAAATGTTGATCAACCTTCTTCCGAAACTTGTTGCTCAAGCTATCATGGAAATGTGTGGTTAAACCCCTCTTTTGTCAAGGTTAGAGGTAGCTAGTTCAGATTTTATGTATTCTTCTTGATCTTTTGTATGTGAATAATGTTTTGATCAATATAGATGAAGTTATTTGCTATCTTTTGTTATATCTATGGTTTGGATTGCTTTAGACATAAACCTTTCAAGTCTTGACCTAATTTCTTCATCTATCAACTATACAAACTCTAGACATAGGTTTGAAAGTTGATATTCGCTTTGTATTGATCTTAATGTTTATTGTTTTGTGTGTTACTTAGAGAGATCATTTAACGGTCGAAACAATAACATTCACGAAATCGCTTTAGAAATGAACATTTTTGCGAGGATACGCGGTTATGTTGGTTAAAACTAAGTTCACATATTTGATCAGTTGGATACGTTTAGGACGAATTAACAAACCCTAATCTTGGCATGCTTTTTATCAAACTAAGACCAAATTTTATTTTGTTTTATTTCTTGCAAACTCTTGTTACAAAAATTGAAACCATTTTAAAAACCCCCATTCTTAAATCATTAAACCATTGAACGACAAGCATCACATATTCTCATCAATCCATGTGGATACGATAAAACACTACCGAAAAATACTTCTAACATTTGTCGATCCTTTTAAGCATCCCAGGATTCTTCTTGCAGCCTTCATGTGTGACACCTTTGGTTCACTGATGTGTCTGCTCACTGATCCGATTGAGAAACATATATCAGGTCGAGTTTTGCACACATATCTCAGAGATCTGACAATTTTTTTTTAACAAAGTTACATCGACTTTGTCTTCCTCTTCATGATTCTCCAACTTCAAATTTGGTTCGATAAGCGAAGATGCTGGATTCAAATTATCCATCCTAAATCTCTTGAGTATCTCCTTGACATACCTTCCTTGTTGTAGCACCATACCTTACTTCGACATTTAAAATTCTATGCCTAGGAAGTATGACAACTTTCCTAGATCTGACATTTCAAATTCATTCTTCATCAGCTCCTAGAACTTCGACAAGTTATTCAAGCTATTTCCAGTTACTAGCAAGTCATCAACATATAAGCAGATGATTGTTATATATTATGCCAAAACTTGAACATATACACCAAACTCAGATTTGCATTTGATAAATCCCAATTCGACTAAGTATTAGTCAATCTTCTTGTTCCATGCTCTAGGTGTCTACTTCAGGCTATAGAGCACTTTGTGAAACTTATATACTTTCCTTGCTTCCTCCTGAATCACAAACCCATGAGATTGTGTGACATACACCTCTTCATTTAAAGGTCCACTAAAAATTCCGATTTCACATCTAATTGAAATGTCAACTAACCTTTCTTACATGCCAAGGTTACAATCAATCTGACAGTTTCCAATCTTACGACAGGTGCAAATACTTCAGAGTAGTCAAGTCTTGCTCTCTGAAGAAATCCTCGAGCTAACAATCTCTCCTTATGTCTATCAACCCATCAACATTGTGCTTCAACTTGAATACCACTTCACATCGATAGCTTTTGTATGTGCTGGCAGTTCGAACAACTCCCATGTGTCGTTCATTTCGATTGCTTGTAACTCTTCGACCATAGCAGCTTTCCACTTCATATTTTTTAAAGTGACGTTATAGTTGATTGGTTCAACAATTATAAGTAAAGCAAAATGAACTAACTCTCTATATGTTGTGACTTCATCATCACCAACCACTTCACAGTCTTGAAGTCTTGTCGGACGAGCTTTAGTTCCTTGAGTTCTTTTGCTTGTGCTACCCATATCCTCTTCGACTTCGATTATGTTGGCTATGTCAACAACAACTTCAACTTCGATTATGTTGGCTATGTCAACAACAACTTCGACTTCGAGTGGAATATTTACAATATCTTCGACTTCCACATCATTACTTGCCTCGTCGAAATCATAGCTCATCAATGGCTTGTCAACTGCATTACTAGAATTCCAATCCCAGAAAAAAATTTCATCAATCAAAATATCTCGACTAATCACAATCTTCTAATTAATTGGATTAAACAACCTGTATGCTCTAGTCTTATGATATCTTACCAGAATCATGAGTTTACTCTTATCACTAAGCTTCCTTCTCCTTGCATTCGAAACATGCTTGTAGCAAATAAAGCCAAACACCTTCAAATGACTCACTGATGGTCATTTGCCACTCCACACTTCTTCATAAACCTTGTTCATAAAACGTCACCTTAAAATCCTCCTTCTTGGCATCCTTGTGAGCAGTTCTCTGTGCATCAGCTGTATCTTCACCAAGAACAGGAACGTCATCAGTAACCACTTTTAGGGTTTCATAAAAGTCAAATAGAGATTGCATCTGTTTTCTCCATCGAAGCTAATTCTTTCTTTCAAGAGTTGAAAGAGAGTTTGATAAATTTCTGTTACCATTCATCTTTGCAGCGATTGATCAGCAACAACCCACGATCTCAGAAACACGACCTCTGATGTGTGATTCTTGAAAACACGATCAAGAATCTGACCGGAGCTCTAGATACCAATTTGTTAGTGCGTGAGACACTTTTAGGGAGGAGAGAGAGAGAGAGAGAGAGAGAGAGAGAGAGAGAGAGAGAGAGAGAGAGAGAGAGAGAGAGAGAGAGAGAGAGAGAGAGAGAGAATAAGGATTGATATTATTGAATTGAATAATAATAATTAAATTACAAACTATGTATTTATATACTACTAACATGTCTACTAAGTAAAGTAACAAACTAAGTAACAAACTAAGTAACAAACCTGAAATCCTAATTAACTTTGGACTTGATCCACGTAATTCAACTTGGATTATATCTAATATCTCACCATTAATTAATTAGACGTTGTACAAATATCTTCCACTTCCTTCGTCTCATAATATGTGTCATCTTTTCCATTTTTATTTATCTTAAATTATTTGTCCCTTTAGAATACCAATGTCATATTTATTATTTTCTCCCACTAATTTATCTTTATTTATTGTATTTTAAATCATTTAACTACTCCACTATCTATTATTAATAAAATTATTTTAGTAAATAATACTCGTTTATCATTAAAATCAACACAATTAATCATTATCTTAAAAAGTGTGAATATTTTAAAGAAGACACATATTATAAAACGGAAGGTGGAAATGATTAACATTGTCAATTTCATATTCCCATTGATACTTGTTTGCATTTAATCTATATTCTTCCTCAATACATGTAAAGCTATACATTTTTAATGTCTAACATAAAACTCAACCGTCACACTTATATAAAAAGAAAAATGTTATTCTTACATCAAAAAATGACACTACACCCAATTCACTTTTCACAAGTACGTGAAGAGTATTTTTATATTATTTTGACTTTTATAATGTATTTTTCTTTAAAAATAGTTTGGTTAATGAAATATTAAAACTTAATTAATACAATTTAAAGTTTGACTTATATATATATATATATATATATATATATATATATATATATATATATATATATATATATATATATATATATATATATATATATATATATATATATATATATATATATATATATATATATATATATTTATAATTTTGTTTCAATATTGTTAATAGTTTATTGGTTAATGAAGTAGTGAAAGTGGTTAATGAATTATATAAAAAATAATTGGTTAATGATTTAGATTTTTGTGGTTAATACAATTGTGAAGTTGGTTAATGACACAATCTTATATTTGTATTATAAAATAAATTTTAAAAACAAATATATTTTTATAAAAAAAATAATATTTAAAAAAATATATTATTTTAATAAAAAACAATGTTCACCGTATAAATACGATAAATAGTATATACGGTATAAGATATGTGGTGTAAAAAATGGTGTCAAGATAGCAAAGCTAATATAAAAAAAAAATACCATTATGATATTTTTTAATTTTTTAATAATTTTTTCTTTCCTGCCTACCTACATTATATCTTTCTTGAATTATACCGTATTTAAAAATATATTTAAGCATAACACATCTGATTTTAAAAACAGGATATCCAAATTAGTAGTTTCAATATTCTTTTAAATAAAATAAAAATATCAACTTTTGTTAAGACAAAGTTCTATATATATACAATAATTTTTGAAGCACAAAGGATATAAAAAATAAAACCAAAGAACCTTGGATATTCCTTTCAAACCTTTCTTCATATATATACACGATATATACATCAGCATTTACATGAAATTAACCGGAATAAGCAATAACTGAATTTCATAAATAAAAAAACAACATGAACTTGAAGAAGCAATATATAAAATACACATAATTCCTTATTATTAATTACTTATATATATATCTTGACTTCAGGTTGATTTCAGCTTGTCCAAGTTGTATAATCTCTACAAAACAAAACATACATATTATAAGGTAAGTTCTGTGTAATATCTATGAATTTAATTTCATGACCAATTGATATAATATTATTTTCATAAAGATGAAATGAAAATGAAGCTTACTAAAATAAAATGGATATCCTCAAGAAAAGGCACAAGTAGAGAAACTAATATCTGCATTTTCTGCATAAGCATGTCAATTTCTTCATCTTCAGCTTTAAGGATATCAATGAATGTTTTACTTTCTGGAACTAATCTTAGAGCAACCTGCAATAGTGCCATATATATAAATAGTGGAGAAAAATGATTAATTCAGCATAAAAAATATGATGAAAACATGGTTTTTACCCTAGAAGCAGTTGATGCAATCCAGCCATGCCAAGGTTTCAATGTTACATTGTAAGATTCTTCAACTGCTTTGTCCATTTTCTTTTCAGGATCTTTTGATAGTATTTCTAGTAATGATGAGGTGAAATCCAAGGCCCTGCATAATATAACCCCTAAAATTAAATAACACTTGAATTTTTTTTCTTTCAAACTAAATGATAATAATCACTAACTAATACCCAATCGCAAGAATCAGGTTCGAACCCTAGCAATTTCAATCTAATTATATTGGTTTCTTTAAGTTAAACTAAGACTATGATTCAAACCCTAATGATGACAAACAATCATGAGTATCAGGGTTCAATCTAATTATATAGGGTTTTTTAAGTTAAACTAAGACTATGATTCAAACCCTAATGATGACAAACAATCATGAGTATCAGGGTTCAAACCCTAGTGATGACGTCCAATTTAACAATATCGACTTCGGCCAGTCAAGTTAAAATTTACAAACTTATATACGACAGATTTAAAAGTTATATATATATATATATATATATATATATATATATATATATATATATATATATATATATATATATATATATATATATATATATATATATATATATATATATATATAATTTTATTTTATATTATTTTATGATTAATTAAAGATTCTTGAAGTGTTATATTATAGGTATTTTTCACCTTGTGAGCCAAACAAAGGCCTTACTGCAGCTAGAGCCCTTCCTTGCATTGCCTTCTGTTGCTTCCAATTTTAATATTTCAACCAAATTGGATATTGTTGTTGGATTTGATTCATGCATCAGTTCCAATCTCTGAAAATGAAACAAAATTTAATACACAAATCATTGGTGGTTGACCTATCAACAATATTTTAAGTATAATCAAACTCATATAATACATGTTTCTCAACTCATATACACCAAAACTATAATACTATACACTAATCGGTCTTACTCGACTCACATGAACTAATGGTTCCCTTAATTGGGTCATTACTAGTCACATATTATAATTTAAGATTTTGTCATATGAACTACTGATAAGACATATAATTAATATCATTAAGTTAATATATTTTAATTTCCTATATAGCAGTCTACCATCTCATATATTTTATAAGAGTAAAAATTAAGAAGTAGAATTAATAATGATCAAGAGTATAATAATAAAAAATGTAGCTAACAATCTTGTAATGACAATTCAAATGATATAAAGATCTAAAATTGGAGTAAATCAGTTGATATGAATGGTTTAGAGTTCAATTTCTATACCTTGATATTTTGGTACACATCTTGTCTCAAAACAGCCATTGTTGGTCCAATTTTATCTGTTATTACACACATAATTTCCAATGTGTCAATATAAAATGTTAAAAATCACATCAAACTTTGAACATAAACATTTAAGATTTGAAGTAAGAAAACCTACCAAGAACTTGTAGAACAAAATAACATATAGAGAGGAAAGGCTTGGTAGGAATATGAGCAGCTTCATGATTTTCTTCAGAAGGTTTAACAATTACCACCACAGAAAGCTCTTCAATCACACAACTTATCTCTGATTTCTTCTCCATTTCTCTCTTAGAACTCTTCATATTTCACTCCCTTAATTTCTTCTTTCTTCACAACTAGGGTTCTATATAAATACTAGCATGGATAATCTCTAACTCTGAATTCTGAACAAGTTGCTTCTTTAAGAAACAAACCTTGCAAGTTCTCAACTATATTAAATTATTATTCTAGGATTCTCTTATCAAAACCTTCTTAAGACTAAACTCTTTATTTTATTTATTAATTTTTTTGGTATGCGATAACTCTTGTGCTATGTCAATTTTTCTCTAAACTATAGACGTACGATGACATATATATTTGACCTTATAGTTATTATTTATGATTATAATGTTTTTTAAAACATTATCTTAGTAAATAAAATGCATGTAGGTCCCTTATTGAAATTGAAATGTCTAAAAGAATATAGAAGGAATCAATTTGTCATGTTGATGTAATTTAGAGTTCACATGGCAGATACGGTCATACGGATAATAACTGGCATTAGGAAGATATATGTGTAATGTTTTATCCTCTTTATTATGCAAATGGGGTAGGACATGCCACTCTTTTGCTCATAGAACCCTTTGGTATTTAATTAAAAAAAATGTGTGGTGTACACGTCGATGTATATTTCTTAAGAGAAAGATATAAATGGGATCGAAGCATATTTAAAAGTATGCAATATGGACTATATGGTCCAAAATTTTAACAGTTAAATCATGATTAAATATAATATCTTAATAGATTTCTGTTACTGTAGTTAAATTTGACTCTCATTTATTTTGTGATGGGAATAAACATCCACAACCAAGGGTCTAAAATCTTTAGGGTTTTGTCGTTTATGCAAATTAAATTAGGTTAACTTGATGGTAAAGTTGTGAAGTATGTCTTTAATGTTTAACTAAAAGATGAGAACGGTTACAAACAGTGAAAAATGGAATTTGGGAAATCAAAGTTCATCATAACTAAATGTATTACTTTTAATGAGGTCCATAACGGGAGAAAGCGTAAAGACTTGGAAATGAAGGTATTAGAAACTATGATAGATTAAAACTTAGTTTGAGGTGAGGGTTTATGCTAGAGAGACTAGGTATGAGAAGAAACTTAAGGCTCCTAATTCTAGTTTTAGCGAGGAAAAATTTACAGTGGTATCTGATTATGATTTGACTTGTGATAAGTAAGAAGGAAGATTGTGTCATCTCAGAGGTTTATTTATGTTGGTCTTGTTTGTTATGCTTTAAATTTGGCTAAAGAATTGCAAAACTCGAAAATACGAACTTTTAAGGAGTCATTCCCAAGCAAAAAGAGTCAAAGATAGTTGAAAAACATACTTGTGGGTGTACTAGAAAACTTAAGTAGGAAAATATATGGTATACGCTACTAATATAATATGATTTGATAAATATGATTTGATAAGATTTGATTCCTCTTAATTATATATATTTTTCGTTCCTAGAATAAATTAGAAAATCAAATAGATATTATTTGTAATTAATCATTGCAAATGCTCGTGTAGTTATAAATAGAGGCAATACAATGACGAATGACATCAAACCAGAATTTGTGACATGGTATCAGAAGAATCAAACTTCTGAATCCTTATTATCTTGGTTGGATAGCGACAACCTACTGGGTCGCTTGTGTTCTTGGTTCGTGTTTGTCTCGAAATTGTTATCAATCCAAATCTTGTAGTTTCTTGCGATTCTTTTTCGATTGTCGTCTCGTGATTTTGTCTTTATTTTCGCTTTGTCACAACAACATTTTTACTCTATAGCAACACCTAATTTTAGGGAGATAAAAATATTGTTCTCGTAGATTGTAATAGGAAACCGACTTTATATTCCGTTGCAGTAGCTTAAATATATTTTGAAAATTTTATGCAACGGCTCAAAACCGTTCTCATATAATTTTTAATTTTTAAAATAAAATATAGATTCTTTTTAATATCGTTCTCATATGTTATACTAAATCATTTTTTTATGAAAAATGTCCCCTGTGGGAATCGATCAGGTCACCACATTGAGCGTTATATTTTCACCGTTCTCTTTCTAAAATTTCATTGAGTGGCTGAACTTTCACTGTTCTCTCCCTTTCTGAAATTAAGAATATGGATAAATTCCTTATTGGTGATTGTTGCACAGAGCCAGAGAAAAATAATATTATTTCAATTGATTGAGATATTTCTAAAGCAAAAGAAAGAGAAAATCGAGAGATTGGGTGACACTAACCCTTTTTCTTCATCCCAAAATTAATGGTCGACATTCACACTTGAAAGCAATATATAGTATAGCTATGTAGTACTAGACTAACATGAATTTCATCTAAAATGCTATCTCTTTAGGGAAAAATATAAACATCTATACTAACATATAAACTTTTGAATGTTTGGAAGAGATTAAAGATCATAAGTTTGAAGCCTTTGAAAAATATTAGAAATGAAAAGTTTGAGCTTAGAAGTGTGTATTTGCTGTTACTATTTGAATGTGTAATGTGATGCTCTAGTCATGAGTTGTGTGTTTGGTGTGTCGTTTATGTGTTGTGTTATGCATTTTCGCTGTAACTTTGATTGTGATCTCTAATGTGTGTGAATGTGATGCTCTTCACTAAATGAAATATCAAGCCAATTTCAAACGATCCTTCGAACTTTGAATGCTAACTGACAGTATAAATGTTTAAAATGAATAAAGTTATGTAACTTAATCAAAACACTTATTAATTATTGCTACTATTTTAATTAGGGAGTGTGTATATTTAACTAAGTCAGTTTAATAGTTAACTAATAATTTTTAGGTTTTCCTCAATTGAGTTTTTATGTTTTCTTGTTGCATTATTTGTTTCCTTGTCTTGCATATACTTTTTTTTTATACATATATGGTAGTCTCCTCGTAAACCCGATGAACAAGGAATGGACAAAGTTAAACCCTGCGAGTAAAGAGTATCAAAATGGTCTTGATTTTTTCTAGATCATGCATACACCAAGAAAAATCCCATGGGAAAGAGATTTTGTATCCTTGTGTTAATTGCTACAATACCAACTGGTTTATAAGGAATGAAGTACCAAATCATTTAATCACATTTGGATTTCAAAAAGGATATGATGTTTGGGTTCGACTTGGTGAGAAGAAACCAAAACCCGATAATCTTAATGATAATCATATGAATGACGAAGAGGATAAGATTGATGATATTGATGGAATATTGCATGAAAGATTTAGAGATGTTGTACAAGAAGAAAACGAAGTGAATGTAGGCCTCAACGAAGATGCAAAAAAGTTCTATAAACTAGTCGAAGAAGCCAAACAAGATTTGTATTTGGGTTGCAAAAACTTCTCTAAATTGTCGTTCATCATTCGTCTATATTTATTGAAGTGTCTTTTTGGTTGGAGCAACACATCATTCAATGCTCTCTTAGAGTTGGTGAGAGAAGCTATGCCTTTATTGAACATTCCCGATACGTTCAACAAAATTAAAGATAAGATAAGGGACTTAGAGCTTGATTATAAGAAGATCAATGTCTGTCCTAATGATTGCATGATCTATTGGAAAGATCACGAGAATGATACTGCTTGCCATGTTTGCGGTGCTCCACGGTGGAATGAATATGCAAAAGGAAATGATCAAGTTGAAAAAAATTCACAAGTCTCATAAAGTTCCTTCAAAAGTTTTGAGACATTTTTCCTTGATTGCTAGGAATAACATTGACGTATACCTTCAACCATTGATAGAAGAGGTGAAAGTTTTATGGAATTTGGGTGTAGAAACATATGATGCATCACTAAATCAAACTTTCAAAATGTGCGCATCTCTTTTGTGAAATATTAGTGACTTTCCTGGGTATGTTATGTTGAGTGGGTTGAGTACAAAAGGGAAACTAACATGTCCTTGTTGTAATTATGACACTAATTCGTTATATTTAAATAATAGTAAAAATGTGTGTTATATGGATCATCGTGGTTTTTTGCCTGAGGATCATAAATACATGTCAAATGCTAGGAATTTCAATGGGAGCACAAAAGGTAGGCTACCACCAAAGTTGGTAACTTGGGAACAAATCTTAGAGAAACTAAAGGACATCAACAATACTTTCGGCAGGCTGCAAAAGAAAATTAGTAATGGTCCATGGAAGAAAAAAATTGATATTTTGAGTTACCATTTTGGAAGCATAATATTTTATGCCACAACCTTGATGTGATGCACATAGAGAAAAACATATTTGATAGTATAATTGGGACATTGATGGATATCCCAGGTGTCATAACTGCGAAAAACACTCGGCGGAAAGACAGAAGATTTGCCACCAAATGTTATTTATCCCAAAGGAGGTAAAGGAAACGATAAAAAAAAACCTAAAAGAAAGGAGAAGACAAGGTCATCACAACCAAATCTTGGGTTCGTGATTCGGTTATGCAAGGGGAAGGTATGAGCACCCCTCACGTTCGTTGTACTCAACGGGATCCACGATTATTGTCTAATAAAAAATTATGTTATCTAAAAGCTACTGCTATATGGAAATGGAAACAAAGAAAAAGAAAGAGACTCGATAGGACATCGCCGCTCTATGCCTACGTATTCCCTCGTGCAATGGAAAAGTCAGAGTCAACTTAGTTTAGAAAACTATGGGTGATGGGGGAAGGTTGTTCGCCAAGACATCATCATTTTGTGCCTATGTATCCTCATCTGGTATAAGAAATTAGAGCAAACATAGTTCGGGAAAAGAGGAAACTACAGGTTGGTTAAGTGTTTTTTATAAGTGACGTTAAGTTCCCACTCCAGTAGTTAGGGGCGATGCATGTTTGTGGTAGAACGGAAAAGTAACATACTCTTTTCTGAAAATGATTTTGAAACAAATCTCGAAGGATAAAAGGTTTGAATTTTGTTTGTGAGTTTTAGTGAAGTGAATTAGTTTACTTTGTGATTCACGTTGCACTAAAGACTATGTGTCGCATCGCTGCGAAGAATGGTCGGCAAGGACAGAAGAGTCACCACCGTTCGTTATTTATCCCAAAGAAAGAGAAAGGAAACGATCAGAGAAAACCTACGAAAA